CAGAAATGAATGTTTATTAATGAAATCCTTATGTCAATTTTAAGTTTCTGTAACTTACATCAGACATGGTTTGTTGGACCACAGTGTTGAGCTGTACTTGTCGGTTACAGAACTGTTTGACCACTAGACCAATAGAGGAGGTCCTCTGGTCAGTTACGTCCTCCCCCGCCCTTACCAACATCTGCTGGGTCAGGGCAGACAGAGCCTGCAGCAGGAACACAAATCTAACACACAAAATAGAAGTTACAGAGTGATATTCTTTTGGGGAAAAAACACTCTCACAAAAAGTTTAAATTACTTTAACTGCAATTCACTCACATTTAAGGTACCGTACCATGAAATTCAATGGCTTAGTATAAGTCACTTTTTATTATTGGGTACTGGTGTAAACTGTAGATCTATCATTACATTTTACTCTGCTTTATGAAATGATAGTTAACTTAAATCAAGCTACATTATATATGGGGGAAAAATCTCATTTCTATGGCTAATAAATTTAACCAAAAAAATAATTTAAACAGTACACCAAATAAGGAATTGTGCCTGAGGTATGTATTTTGTAACATCATAAAACAAAAGAGTCAACTGCACACTAACCTGTCAATGACGAGTTCATATAGAGCTATGTGGGCCACCTGATTGTCCTCAGCATCATCACTATAACTGTATAAATCCAGAAGTTCCTCAACATTCAGATCTGCACTCTGTTTATCAGGAAACTTCCATGACGTGACAGTAACGGGCCCAGTCCTGGAGAGGATTCCATTAATGGCCCACTGGATGTCGGACACATCTGTACGTAAACTCTCTAAAATCGCCTTCCCTCCTAACAGCTCGGCCATCTGTTTTCTTATATCAAAATAAAAATTTTAATATGGATTTTTTTCTGGATCCCTTTTTCCAATATTAAAATAAATTAGATTTTAAATAGGCCTTTTCCCCGATATTCCTGTCATCAAAACAAAAATGGTAAATGATAATATTTAGATATATCTGAACTTTGCTAAAATGTATTGAATATCTCAAGCTAATTAATTCTTTATAATCTTTTGTTACTGTTTTCCAGGAGTTGGATGCATTTATCACAGGCATTTTTATTTTCAAAATAACATACAAAAAATTCTCCTTTCTGTTTAATAGTATGTTTCAATTCATATAAGTGTAGAAAATTAGGCTGGACTGAGGAAAACAGCCTGGATAGCTCAGTGGTTAGAGCATCTGACAAGGAATGAAGGGGTCTCGGGTTCGATTCTTCGTCTACTGTAATATGTTTTTCATTATTTATAAATTATGTATTTATGAATTTTCAATGTATGTTTACTTATTCCTCCTTTCCATGCTATGAATGTGATGTATACATAAATAATGATGGGTGCTAGTTTTATCTTTTAAATTATTTGATTTTTATGAAAGAATATTTCACAATCTTTATAAACAACTTTAACATAATTCAATAGCAGTTATAGACCATAAAAATGTATCAGGAAATGAAATATATCTTATTTTTGAAAAATTTATTGTTTGTTCATAAATCCATAAAAACTAAAAGATATAATAAGTATAGAAGTAGAACATACCAGTTCATTTGAAGGGGCGCTGTGTCAGTGTGTATATATTGGGGACTTTAAAAATGTATTTTGATGCTAATGAATTAGTTTGTGGTCAAATATTTCTCAAAATACTTTACTAAACATACGATTTGTTGTTCAAAATAGTTCAACACTTTTGAACCTAAACATACAATATATAAATCGCATGTTGGCACAGTTTGTCTTAAAGGATTTTTCTATTGTTATATATAACATTGATAACTTACCTGTATATCGAGAAATTGCTTTATTTGTCAATACAGCCGTTCTTTAAAACATTAAAGTCATCATATTTCCATTTCGCCACCATTTGTTTACAGGAATGTCGCGGGTGCAAGATAAGTCGTACTTTAGTAAGTCGATTGTATTGAAATATTGGTGAAAAAGATTCGTGAAAATTTTGATTAAAACTAATGGCTTTCGCTGTAGTTATTTTGATAGTAAAATGCTTATCATTTGATTAGACTAATTATACAATCTACTGTTATACTATTTAATTATTTTTGTTTTAATCTGTAACTATATATACATGTTCTAATATCTACCGTGACTTTGTAACCACACATGTAAACTTTACTTTTAACTTTAGTGTGATATGTACTGACCCTTTAACTATATTCAGGTAAAACTTTATAACTATACCTGTTATACCCTGTAACTATCTAGACATAAAATTTCGTAACTATAGCTATTTTACTCTGTAAGTTCACCTGTCTTGTAGAGTAGGCTTTCACCCAAAATCTTTCCCCCCAGAAAAATGGATCTATCTAGAGTAGCCCCCCCCCCCCGGAAAACTGGCTCTAGAGTAGGATTTTCTCCCCGAAAAACTGACTCTAAAGCAGAATTTCCCCACGGAAATCCCATTCCAGAGCCATGGTCAATTTTCCGGGGGTGGGGGGGCTACTCTGTGTAGTAGTTATAGAGTGCGATTTCCCCCAGAGCCAATACCCCCCCCCCCCCAATAAAATATAATTGCTGTACTAATGTTTTTAAGGGGAGAGAGGCGGTACATTGTTACAAGTGTCCCTTCTTTAAACTGGAGACCAGGTGTTGAACACACGTATACGAAGAATGAAAATTTTTAAATCTCATTTTTCTCAGCAACAGTCAAACCATTTTTTATGGATCAAATAAATTGATGAAACCAGGGGGACTATGGGTTTACTGTTCGCCTGTCCGTCCGCCTAGCTGTCCCTCTGTCTGTCCCAAATGGTTTTCCGCACTTTTTTGTAAATGTTTGACACGCATTCTCAATTTATAGTGCCAAATCAACTTTGGGAAAAGTCAAAAAAAAATTGTGAACTGAAACTAACACTTTTATATGTCATTTGAAACATGAAAGTGTATAGTTATTAAAAATCACAATTTGATTTACATACTTCATGCTGTGTTTTGTTGAACTCCTTCGAAATGAATGCGGTTGGGGGGCTAATTTTACACCAAAATATTTACGTGATGTTGAAAATCCATATTTGGAAACGAAAGAATTTTTTTGAAAAATACAAAATTAAGATAATACACATCAAATTTGGTTAACTATAAACATTTATAAAACCGTTTAAGCACATTTGTAAAAAGTTGTGGAATCTTTGATTCAATTATTAGTAAAAACAAAACAGGCATAATTTTCACTTAAATGAAATTATGTTATATTTAGAGTACGAGTTTCCTACTGTATCAGAGATACAGGGCGGGGCTTGAGGCGAGAGCGATAGCTCGAGCCGGGCCCCGCCCTGTATCTCTGATACAATAGGAAACGAGTATTCTAAATGACTTGTGACATGACCTTTCTAATGACCTCACCAATTTACATTCATATTTGGGTACATATCTCTCAACCAATCGGATGATTTTAGCAGAAAATTGATTTAGTATCCCATTTTAAGCATTCGCAAGTGAAATGCCGAGAGAGGTGGACATGCAGGTATTTATCATTTTTAAAATAATTATTTAGGGGATGCATTACATAATTTGTTTTCCAAAAAAATTAATTTAAATTTGATTGCGTAGGTTTTTTTTCTCTATTCAGCTGTTGCCGACTTTGTTTTTTAAATTTAAGCTACGATTTTAATCCAAAACATTTAAATATATAAGAATCATGTGGGAATGTTTTTGAAACAAAAATACTTCTGCGAAACTATGGCATGTCAAACGTTGCAATATTTGATAATCTTGTGATGTATATTCAAAATCTTGTGATGTATGTTCGAAATCTTGTGATGTATATTCAAAATCTTGTGATGTATATTCAAAATCTTGTGATGTATGTTCGAAATCTTGTGATGTATATTCAAAATCTTGTGATGTATGTTCAATATCTTGTGATGTATATTCAATATCTTGTGATGTATGTTCAAAATCTTGTGATGTATATTCAATATCTTGTGATGTATATTCGAAATCTTGTGATGTATATTCTATAATCTTGTGATGTATGTTCGAAATCTTGTGATGTATATTCGAAATCTTGTGATGTATATTCAATATCTTGTGATGTATGTTCAAAATCTTGTGATGTATATTCAATATCTTGTGATGTATATTCGAAATCTTGTGATGTATATTCTATAATCTTGTGATGTATGTTCGAAATCTTGTGATGTATATTCGAAATCTGGTGATGTATATTCAATATCTTGTGATGTATATTCTATAATCTTGTGATGTATGTTCGAAATCTTGTGATGTATATTCAATATCTTGTGATGTATATTCGAAATCTTGTGATGTATATTCTATAATCTTGTGATGTATGTTCGAAATCTTGTGATGTATATTCGAAATCTTGTGATGTATATTCAATATCTTGTGATGTATATTCTTAAACTTGTGATGTATATTCTATAATCTTGTGATGTATGTTCAAAATCTTGTGATGTATATTCAATATCTTGTGATGTATATTCGAAATCTTGTGATGTATATTCTATAATCTTGTGATGTATGTTCGAAATCTTGTGATGTATATTCGAAATCTTGTGATGTATATTCAATATCTTGTGATGTATATTCGAAATCTTGTGATGTATATTCTATAATCTTGTGATGTATGTTCGAAATCTTGTGATGTATATTCTATAATCTTGTGATGTATATTCAATATCTTGTGATGTATATTCGAAATCTTGTGATGTATATTCAATATCTTGTGATGTATATTCGAAATCTTGTGATGTATATTCTATAATCTTGTGATGTATGTTCGAAATTTTGTGATGTATATTCGAAATCTTGTGATGTATGTTCGATAATCTTGTGATGTATATTCGAAATCTTGTGATGTGTGTTCTACAATTCAGTGATGCGTGGCAGGACCGGGAATCGAACCCGGGACCCCTATATCACTAGTCAGATGCTCTACCTACTGAGCTATCCAGGCCGATATCCACGCCCCTAACCATTACACGTGCAATAAAATTGCATGACGCAACAGAAAAGTAAGGACAATTTTCATTGGTTAGAAATAACGAAAGTAGCCGGAGCGGTCGTAATGCACACATTGACACAACTTCGCAAGCATGAAATTGGCGAATTCAACCTAAAGTCAAAATTATAGGTAATAGAAAAATTGTTTTGGTATCAAGAAGCACTAAGTCAGTCATAACGTGAAAAGTGGGAATCAAGAACATTAATTTGATTTGTTTGAAGGTACATCAAAAACAATTTAGTGGCTTATTCAGTTATTGCTGGACTAAAGGATGTTTTATCCTATTTTTACGTCCTCATATTGTAGTGATGTTGATTAATCGGTATGATTTATTCTATATTGGTGCTAGTTAGAATAATCTAACTGTGTCTCGGGACAAACTCTCACCACGCAGGGTTCGAAATTGCATGGCCCTATGCAGCTGCATTGACCGATAAGCACTAGTCCAGGGACGACTTTGCAATAAATAAATAAATAACACGACAAATTTTTAGGAGAAGGTGAATGTCAGGAAAAGATTAATTGCTATGCATCATTGAATATTGTCATTCACAAATTAGTCCAATTATTTTCATAGTAAATGTATTGAGCCGGGCTCATTTACAGGATAATGAACAAGGACTGTGGTGACAGTTTAAAATCACGTTCAGACATTTAGAGAATATGTAATACACACAAAAATATCTCAATGGCATGTATAATATTAAATAGTTTTAAAAATAAAATAAAATATAGCTAGAAATTAACAGCGAAAAATATTTATCACGTATCGTTTTGGGGTAATCCGGTTTTATATACAAACAGAAGTAAATAAACACCGATGCAGCAAGATTAAGGTCAAACGTCTCTGCACTGATGTGTCCTCAGCGGTGAGATTTGCATCAAGTCATTAATGATGTTCCCTGCATTTGTGTTAGCCTGATAGTACAACCTTTATTTATAGAATCAATCTAATTCAAATTAGATGTTAGATCCGCTTGCATACTCGCTACACTAACATCTAACAACATCCCGTTGAGGGTCACGTCAGAGGTCAAATTCTATCAATTAATCAAATCGCAGCTGGCAAAATCATCATATATTGTTGAAGCAAATAAATCTTGAGGCGTTCCGAATTTAACCTCTTACGTGACCCTCAATGGGATGACTTGTTAGATGTTAGTGTGTTGAGTATGCGAGCTGATCTAACATCTAATTTTAATTATATTGTTTATAGAATATGATGCAGACAGGGATACCTGGTGAAAACCTTTCGCACCCGTTGAATTACTTTGTAAAATATTAGTCAAAGGAGCCAGGAAAAAATATTAAACAATTTAATATTATGATAAAAATATTCAATTTACTATTTCTTAAGGTGATTTTGTTTTCTCAACAGCGGCTGGTCACGTACCATACTTTTACTCGTAAACTCAATTTGGCTGTGAAGAAGCAGCATTTTCTGTTGCTCACCGTCGCTATAGCTGAGCATTGCTCTACGAGCAATGTGCCCGGCTAAAAATCATAATATTTGTAATGATATATCTTATTCTAGACTTGACATACAATAAACAATGATAAGAATTATTGTCGCATATCTGCAGTGATTTTCTTTGATCTTTCTGTGGTGATAATTTATCCCATATCACATGTGTGATAATACTTTCCAAACATGTTTCAAAGTTTTTACACTCTTTATCATACAGTTTTAAAGGACAGTTTTATGAGCTCATAAGTATATTAAATGGTTAATTTATCAAAACCTGCATTTAAAAATTCAGAAGTCTTAAGTTAAACCAAATTGTCCAGGCTATTCTTAGTAAGGTATGTCAAAGGTCATGGTTAAGTGACTTTGTAAGGCTGGTATTTTTTCTTTAGTTTTATGGCAATCAGTGCACATGGTAAATATCATAAAATTACCCCTTAAAGGTCTTATGCAAGGAGATAGCCAATCAAAATGAACAAATGTAGTTCTATGTATGATGTATGTAGAGACAATAATATTTCTTTTCTTTTTTCATGAACTTTACGTAGGTCTACAGTTTTAATGTTGGACTCATGCACTAGGAATATCATATCAGCAGAATTGTGCCACTGAATCAAAGGGAACTCTTTTTTTTTAGGTACGCATGATCGATGTAACTTCCTTGATGGTGTGTTGGCTGTTTGCCCATGTGTATTTCGGGGTATAGGTATGTTTAGTCTCAATTTTCTTTCTTAAAAGCTGCATAAGGGGTATATTTTTTCTGATCTCAAATTTTGTCTAAGCATTAATCTTTTTTCTCATTCATGAATTATCTGCTGAGAGTCTAGTTAATTAATTTATTTAATTAAAGCTATATAGTAACATGTAGTGAAATTATTTCCTTGTGTGAGACCTAAAGAAAATCAGGTTACTCATTTTTATGACAATTTCTTTGATTTCAGGAGTAGCCTCCCCTTTTAAAGATCCAAAATGGTGATTTTACAGTGCGGCATGCAGTCTGTCATCAACGAAGAGTTTTGACACCTGTAATACCCATATTTCTACCATTCACCTCTGTAACCTTTGTTGAGTTCATCAGACTGGTAAGAAAAACAATATTGTTAATTGAAATAATTTTATCAAGATAAATAAAATAATTAATGAAAAAAAAATTACATGAACAGACTCCCTCATATAAGAAAATGTCACATTTTACACATTGCAATTATACATCATTTACATTATCCACATTTTCCCCATTTACACATGCAGTTGAATAGATTTAGTGCTTAATAATACATAGCAACAATTATTTCATGAATCCTAAGACAATTCACAAAATACATGAATGCATTAAACTGTGAAATACAGATTTCGTACATTTCATTAAAATGCACAGCATCAGTACCCCCCCCCCCCCCTTCACAATCTAAAAACTTTCTTTTTAATTCAAAGTCACTAGGCAACACTAAAGATTTCCACTTATTGCTTTTCAGTCCAAGACAGGAAGTTGAGGAATAAAGTTGACAGGACATCCTGAACTGTCCTCGCTACCAGCTTATGAGGGAACCAGCTGCAGTGGACAAAGTACGTTACATCATAGAATAATAGGTAAGTCTCCGGAGTAGTGTTTGTAGCAATTCTCATACTTGGTCCTGCATCGAAGATTCAGGACTATTGATATTTATCTCTGCATGGTTTGGTTCTTCCCGGAAACATGTTACTGGTGGTGGTCCCTATATTCTTCTGGCTTTTGTGGTGAGGAATGTTTCATTTCTAGCTCTTTTCTGATCACATTTTGTCTATCTAGCTGTTTGTCTGTCTGTCTGTCTGTCTGTCCATCTGTCTGTCTGTAAACTTTTCATATTTTCGACTTCTTCTCTAGAACCCATGGACCAATTTCAACCAAACTTGCCACAAAGCATCCTTGGGTGAAGGGGATTCAAGTTTGTTCAAATAAAGGGCCACACCCTCATTCAAGGGGAGATAATTGGGAATTAATGAAAATTTGATGGTATGTTTTAAAAATCTTGTTTTCAAGAACCACTGTGCCAGGAAAAATGAAACTTATGGAGAAACATTCTCAGGTAGTGTAGATTTAAATCTGTTCAAATCATGACCCCCGGGGGTAGGGCGGAGCCACAATGGCTGACCAAAGTTTAACGTAAAAATATATAGAAAAATTCTTTAAAAATCTTCTTCTCAAGAATGACAAAGCCATAATATATCCTATTTATATGGAAGCATCCTCAGGTAGTGTCAATTCAAGTTTGTTCAAATCATAACCCCGGGGTAGGGCGGGGCCACAATGGAAGATCAAAGTTTTACATAGAAATATAAAGGAAAAATCTTTAAAAATCTTCTTCTCAAGAACAGCAAAACCCTGATTGATCATATTTATATGGAAGCATCCTTAGGTAGTGTAGATTCAAGTTTGTTCAAATCATGTTCCCCGGGGGTAGGACGGGGCCACAAAGGATGATCAAATTTTATATAGAAATATATAGGAAAATTCTTTAAAAATAACCTTCTCAAGAAAAGCAAAGCCATGATTGGTCAAGGGACTACTTTTGGATTTAAACTTTTCAATAAAAAACCAATTTTTTAGGTCACCTGAGTAACTCAGGTGACCTATTGCTATCCGTTTTCGTCCGTCGTCGTGTGTCGTGTGTCGTGCGTCGTGCGTCGTGTGTTAACATTTGAACATTTTCAGCTTCTTCTCTGAAACCACTTAACCAATTTCAACCAAATTTATTATACACCATCTATGGGTGAAGGGGAACAAAAATTGTGAATTTCATGGTCCCTGCCCCCCTGGGGCCTGGGGGGTGGGGCAAAAACCACTAAAATTATTGCAATCTTTAAAAATCTTCTTCTTTACTCCTGGACATCAAGCAGGCAAACTGTTGTTATGAATGTAATGAGCATTGAGTCCTCTACTTAAATTGTGAAATTCATGGCCCCAGGGTCAGGGGTTCTAGTGCTAGGGCGGGGCTACATAGATTATATAGTGAAAATGCATGATTTCTTTGAAAATCTTCTTCTCTGCTCCTAGGTATTAAATAAACTAACCAAGCACATAGTGATGATGAGCAAGAGTGCCTCTTCTTAAATTGTGAATTTTATGACCCCAGGGTCAGGGGTTCTGGTGTTAGGGCGGGGCTCTATTGGTTATATAGTGAAAATGCATTAATTCTTTGAAAATCTTCTTCTCTACTTCTGGGTATTAAATAAACTAACTAAGCACATAGTGATGATGAGCAAGAGTGCTTCTTCTTAAATTGTGAATTTTATGACCCCAGGGTCAGGGGTTCTGGTGTTAGGACGGGGCTCTATTGGTTATTTAGTGAAAATGCATTAATTCTTTGAAAATCTTCTTCTCTACTTCTGGGTATTAAATAAACTAACTAAGTACTTAGTTATGATGAGCAAGAGTGCCTCTTTCAAAATTGTGAATTTTATGACCCCAGGGTCAGGAGTTCTGGTGTTAGGGCGGGGCTCCATTGGTTATAAAGTGAAAATGCATTTATTCTTTGAAAATCTTCTTCTCTGCTCCTGGGTATCAAATAAACTAACCAAGCACATAGTTATGATGAGCAAGAGTACCTCTTTCAAAATTGTGAATTTTGTGACCCCAGGGTCTGGGGTTCTGGTGTTAGGGCGGGTCTCTATTGGTTATTTAGTGAAAATGCATTAATTCTTTGAAAATCTTCTTCTCTACTTTTGGGTATTAAATAAAGTAACTAAGCACATAGTTATGATGAGCAAGAGTACCTCTTTCAAAATTGTGAATTTTATGACCCACGTTCCGGGGTTCTGGTGTTAGGGCAGGGCTCTATTGGTTATATAGTGAAAATGCATTTATTCTTTTAAATTCTTTCATTTGCTCCTGTGTTTAATGCCAATGATCCAAATATATATATATTCATGATGAAGAAAGGTGCACCTAGCAAAATGGTTATTTTTTGTGCCCCTGCTCCTTCCCTGGGTAGGGGTGAAGGGGGGGGGGGTGTACAAAGTCTGAAAATAAATTAATGCTTTGAAATTTGCTTTTTGGTGTGTTAATCAGCCATTTTATGATAAAATTTGAAAAATTTTGAAATATGTGGCCCCAGGATCAGTTGTTCCTTTGGGATGAGGTGTACAACTGGTTATAAAGTGGAAGTGCATTTTCTCTTAATGTTACTCTGATCTACCTCTGGGTATTAAGTAAATAGAGTTAGCATGCTAAGTCAAATTTATTATAAGCAATGGTACCTCTTTCAAAATTGTGAATTGCGAATTCTGGTTTAAAACATGAACCAAATTTAATTGTTTGAAAGTTGTTGCACAATACTCAGGTGACCTATAAGGCCCGTGGGCCTCTTGTACTTTTTCCTAGCCACAGTGCTCAGGTGAGCGATGTGGCCCATGGGCCTCTTGGGTTTTTTTTTTTTTTTAAAAATGATCAATCATTAAATATAAATAAATCAGTTGTTAAAAAATTTGCTCCATATTTGAAGTGCTTTAAACCGACCCTTTGATGAAAGTGACCAGTGTTTTTTGCACCTTGGAAGGTTTATTGGTAAAATATAAGAAGGAAGTTATGATTTTGGTGTCACTATTGTTGTTATTTAAGTTTGATTTGATTTTTATATTACGAGTATTATGAAACTGTTATTTTGTTACTGAACGATGGTTAATTTTAATTGTGAACAAATGTACAAAGATGAGGAGTATAATATACACTAGACAAAATTGCTAACGCACCACTTAAAATTCTTCTCTGTGAATTGAACATTTGCCTAATCGGTTTGAGAATATATAAAACGCCATATTTTCTAATACAATGGGATTGGCAAATGTTGTTTCACGCTCTTCAGGGATCAAATGCCGCATACGGTATAATTTTTTTTCCGATTTTCTAATTATTACGAGCATAAAGAACAAAAATGCAAAGAAAAAATTAGAAATTTATCCCTCCAAATTAGTATGAATAACATTTTCACGTTTTCTATGAAATGGTCACGCTTCAGTAAACATTGTAGTTTTTTATCAATTAAGACATTTAAATGCTTATTTTTTTTATTATGTATCATAATAATATATCAAATCCATCATAAACAAGTTTTGAAAAGTAAAATATTACTTTTATTGGGTGGTGCGTTAGCAATTTTGTCCAGTGTAGTTGGCTATGTATATTGCCCAATTTTTGAACATATTATGTAATAAATATTAATAACAACCTTTGAATAATTGGAAAGACAATATTATAAATATGATAGCATTTTTGTACATGAGCATACATTTTTGAAAGGAAAAATAAATTATTCAATTGCATTAAAAAAAATATTTTGTTTCATATTCATATTCTTGCGAATTATCAGATCATTCTTCTATTATTTAAATACTCTGTCATTATGAAACCTTGTTAATAATTAAGTAAATATTAATTGTACATTTGCACCAATTTTTACATGTTTGTGCAAAATTATATACAGGAACAATTCTGAACAAATATATGCAAGTGAGTTGTAAATTTGATATGTAATGCATACATTACAAAAACCCATGACAGTGTTCACTAAAATGAAATGTATGGACTCTTATATAAATACTTGGTATATGTGATATGGATATTATGGATGATATTTTTGAGAATGACACAAGTAATGAAATTTTTCAGCATTGAATTGGATTCTTGAACCAGAGCCATGTGAACCTGGTCCACCTGTACCTCTCATTGAAGACCTGTTAACATCACCAGAGTATGTTCATTCTGATACCCCTATGGTATGGTTACAGCATGCATTATCCCTGAATCCATTAAAAGAGCTGCATTGGCAACGAAACAACCCAATGTGGTCGATTGTAAGGAAATATAGCATATCAGCTTCCAACTTTGGTCAGTTCTCAGTTCTAAGCAAAGGCGGTAAGACGTGTGATTAAATTTTTGCGAAAAAGACTTTTAAAATTACAGTCAAACTTTGTTATCTCAAACCCATTATCTCATATTTCATGGATATGTCACAGTAATTTTGAAGTCCAAACCATTTACCAAAGACTGGGACATTTTATTCTTGATAACTATTTATGTGTTATTCTTGAATCCATGGATATTTCCAACATTTTTCTTGGTCTCATTGAGTTTGAGATAATGAGGTTCGACTGTAATGACTAGATATTTGTACATAAAGATGCAGGAAATATAAGATTAATAACCAAAAATCATATTTTTTTCTCCAGATTGACATTGTCACTGAAGAAACAGCTGATGTCGGCTTACAATCTGGAGTCCATCAAGGCTGTTGCATGGGGTATCACTCATGAAGATGATGCTTTGAGAAAGTATGAAAAGGACTTAGATGCAGCTGTAGAGCAGTCAGGTATACAGCACAAAATAATATTCCTTCAATCTCTGACATGTTAACATTCATTGTGTCAAAACAAATAACAGGACTTATCCTGGTGACAAACAGAAATCAATTACTGAAGTCTAATTGTAAAAAAAAAACTAGAAATATGTCCATAGGACATGAATGCCCCACCGAGGATATATTAGTAAAGCAACATGAAATTTGTACATGTATAAAATTTGATCAGTTTGGTTCAGGCAGGGCTTATAGTTAGTTGGGAATAAAAATGTAGGTCCAGCATCCAAAGCAAGTCTGGTAGTGTCCATCCCTAGATGCATCATCCACGCAAGTTTGGTTCAGGTAGGGTTTATAGTTACTTGGGAATGAAAATATAGGTCAGATCCAGCATCCGAAGCAAGTCTGGTAGTGTCCATCCCTAGATGCATCATCCATGCAAGTTTGGTTTAGGTAGGGCTTATAGTTACTTGGGAATGAAAATGTAAGTCAGATCCAGCATCGAAGCAAGTCCGGTAGTGTCCATCCTTAGATGCATCATCCAAGCAAGTTTGGTCTAAGTAGGGCTTATAGTTCCTTAAGAATGGACCTGCTCCAAAAACTTTAATTTGGTCACTCATCTGGAAAATGTAGGTCAGATCCAGCATCCGAAGCATGTCCAGTAGTGTTCATCTCTAGATGCATCATCTATGCAAGTTTGTATCAACATGTAAAGTTTGATAACACCATCTTGAATGGTATGTTTAAAACTGAGCTAAACATTATTTAAGAAAAGTCAGGTCAAGGTCTAAAAATGTTAATGCAGTTGCATAGCTCTCATCAATATCTATCAGCATATGAAGTTTGATGAAAATATCTTGGATAGTTTCTTTGAAACTTAGCTTTGAACAGAGCTAAACACAAAGTGGGACGGAAGGACAGAAGGATGGAAGATGGACATGACAAACACTATATGCCCCGGCCATATTCATGGCGGGGCATAAATATTCAGTTACCAACATATTCCAGAAAATTTGCTTTTTGAAGTGGAAGGATTATAAAAGCTCTACTTAGACTTTGTTTGCATTACAAAATCAATTGTATTATGGTTTGATTGCATTCAGTAGTATTATAATTTTTTCTGAAAAGGATATGGTTGCATGAATCCGGAGTGTTGGGAGCTTCACCTGATGGCTTAGTTGTTCGACCACCAACATGCAGTGTATTTTATCAAACTCCAGAAGCCAAAGACGCCATTCCTAATATTGTAGAGGTGAAGTGTCCATATACAGCATCGTCTTCAACAGTAGCAGATGGGGCACAAAATTTGAAGGATTTTTCATAGGTAAATAACATTAAAAATCTGTATTGTCCAGTACTTTGAAATTAACAAGAGGCCCATGGGCCACATCGCTCACCTGAGAAGCTTTGACCATTCTGTTCTTTACTAGATTTCCCCCTTGTAATACATATTGTGACCCCACCCTACCCCACTGATCATTATTTAAACAATTTGAAATCACACTACCCCAGGATGCTTCCACATAAGTTTCAGCTTTTCTGGCCCAGTGGTTCTTTAAAGATTTTTCCTATATATTTATATGGAAAACTTTGATTCCCCATTGTGGCCCCGCCCAATCCCCGGGGGTCATGATTTGAACAATTTAGAATCTACACTACCCAAGAATGCTTTCACATAAGTTTCAGTTTTTCTGGCCCAGTGGTTCTTGAGAAGAAGATTTTTAACGATTTTTCCTATATATTTCTATGTAAGACTTTGATTCGCCATTGTGGCCCCGCCCAATCCCCTGGGGTCATGATTTGAACAATTTAGAATCTACACTACCCAAGGATGCTTTCACATAAGTTTCAGCTTTTCTGGCCCAGTGGTTATTAAGAAGAAGATTTTCAAAGATTTTTCCTATATATTTCTATGTAAAACTTTGATTTCCCATTGTGGCCCTGCCAAATCCCCGGGGGTCATGATTTGTATAATTTAGAATCTACACTACCCAAGGATGCTTTCAAATAAGTTTCAGCTTTTCTGGCCCAGTGGTTATTTAGAAGAAGATTTTCAAAGATTTTTCCTATATATTTCTATGTAAAACTTTGATTCGCCATTGTGGCCCCGCCCAATCCCCGGGGGTCATGATTTGAACAATTTAGAATCTACACTACCCCAGGATGCTTCCATATAAGTTTCAGCTTTTCTGGCCCAGTGGTTCTTGAGAAGAAGATTTTTAAAGATTTTTCCTATATATTTCTATGTAAAACTTTGATTCCCCATTGTGGCCTCACCCAATCCCCGGGGGTCATGATTTGAACAATATAAAATCTACACTACCCCAGGATGCTTCCACATAAGTTTCAGCTTTTCTGGCCCAGTAGTTCTTGAGGAGAAGATTTTTAAAGATTTTTCCTATATATTTCTATGTAAAACTTTGATTCCCCATTGTGGCCCCGCCCAATCCCCGGGGGTCATGATTTGAACAATTTAGAATCTACACTACCCCAGGATGCTTCCACATAAGTTTCAGCTTTTCTGGCCCAGTGGTTCTTGAGAAGAAGATTTTTAAAGATTTTTCCTATATATTTCTATGTAAAACTTTGATTCCCCATTGTGGCCCCGCCCAATCTCCGGGGGTCATGATTTGAACAATTTAGAATCTACACTACCCAAGAATGCTTTCACATAAGTTTCAGTTTTTCTGGCCCAGTGGTTCTTGAGAAGAAGATTTTTAACGATTTTTCCTATATATTTCTATGTAAGACTTTGATTCGCCATTGTGGCCCCGCCCAATCCCCGGGGGTCATGATTTGAACAATTTAGAATCTACACTACCCAAGGATGCTTTCACATAAGTTTCAGCTTTTCTGGCCCAGTGGTTATTAAGAAGAAGATTTTCAAAGATTTTTCCTATATATTTCTATGTAAAACTTTGATTTCCCATTGTGGCCCTGCCAAATCCCCGGGGGTCATGATTTGTATAATTTAGAATCTACACTACCCAAGGATGCTTTCAAATAAGTTTCAGCTTTTCTGGCCCAGTGGTTATTTAGAAGAAGATTTTCAAAGATTTTTCCTATATATTTCTATGTAAAACTTTGATTCGCCATTGTGGCCCCGCCCAATCCCCGGGGGTCATGATTTGAACAATTTAGAATCTACACTACCCCAGGATGCTTCCATATAAGTTTCAGCTTTTCTGGCCCAGTGGTTCTTGAGAAGAAGATTTTTAAAGATTTTTCCTATATATTTCTATGTAAAACTTTGATTCCCCATTGTGGCCTCACCCAATCCCCGGGGGTCATGATTTGAACAATATAAAATCTACACTACCCCAGGATGCTTCCACATAAGTTTCAGCTTTTCTGGCCCAGTAGTTCTTGAGGAGAAGATTTTTAAAGATTTTTCCTATATATTTCTATGTAAAACTTTGATTCCCCATTGTGGCCCCGCCCAATCCCCGGGGGTCATGATTTGAACAATTTAGAATCTACACTACCCCAGGATGCTTCCACATAAGTTTCAGCTTTTCTGGCCCAGTGGTTCTTGAGAAGAAGATTTTTAAAGATTTTTCCTATATATTTCTATGTAAAACTTTGATTCCCCATTGTGGCCTCACCCAATCCCCGGGGGTCATGATTTGAACAATTTAGAATCTACACTACCCCAGGATGCTTCCACATAAGTTTCAGCTTTTCTGGCCCAGTGGTTCTTGAGAAGAAGATTTTTAAAGATTTTTCCTATATATTTCTATGTAAAACTTTGATTCGCCATTGTGGCCCCGCCCAATCCCCGGGGGTCATGATTTGAACAATTTAGAATCTACACTACCCCAGAATGCTTCCACATAAGTTTCAGCTTTTCTGGCCCAGTGGTTCTTGAGAAGAAGATTTTTTAATGACTCCACCCTATTTTTGTCTTTTCTTGATTATCTCCCCTTGTGAAGGGATTTGGCCCTTCATTTTAACAATTTACATTCCCCTTTACCCAAGCATGCTTTGTACCAAGTTTGGTCAAAATTGGCCCAGTGGTTCTTGAGAAGAAGTCGAAAATGTGAAAAGTTTACGGACGGACAGACGGACGGACGGACGACGGACACAATGTGATCAGAAAAGCTCACTTGAGCCTTCGGCTCAGGTGAGCTAAAAATCTTGGTGAGTAAATGATTTCAAAACATGTATTAATTTACAAGTGCAGCTGTTCAATATGGTATGAAGATATTGAAAAAGGAGGGGATATGTACTGGTATAACACAACTTAAGTGTTTTTTGATTTTTTTTTTAGATCTTAAACAAGATACCCTGTGCCTGAAAACCAGTCACCCATACTATCATCAAATTCAAGGCCAGCTACACATATGCAACAAAACATTCTGCGACTTAATTGTGTGGACAAGAGTAGACTGCATTGTGATTAGAATAGTAAAAGACATTAAATGGACAGCAAATGTTCCAAAGCTGATAGATTTCTACATTAACATTTTCATTCCAGCACTGATGGAAAACTGAGTTCTGGTTTGAACTTCTTGACACTTAGTTTTGTACCTCTAGAATTTTCTAACAATGGAAAATGGGTAATCATGTTAAATGTGTTGAATGTTCGCAAGTCTCATAAATGTATGATATGATATGTCACAATCCATCATAAAACTTCTGGCTTATAAGACTATTTTAAATAGCAATGATGATTAATAAAATCTATGTACTACATAAAAAAAGAATATCAAAATTTAGAATCATTTTATTAATGAATTGAAGATGTTATTCTCAAAGTGAAAATGTAACATTTTGGTCTTTCTTAATAGATAAATTGTTGAAAACATGAATTTGTTGAGTTGTGCTTTAAAGGTAAATATACTTTAAACTAGAGATTTAAAATTATAAGTAAACCCTCTTCCAAATTATATTGTCAAATGAAGAATGGAATTGCCAAACATTCTTGTAATAAATCCATGCTAACAAAAGGGATTTTCATTTTCTGAAGTATATGTATTACAACATACTACAAAGTTAACAAATATAACCATTGACATTGATAACAAATCAAAATTTGCTTATCCCTTGCACTTTGGTATGAATATCTTCACTGTTTAGTGTATACTGTCACACGCCAATGCAAATTTATAATAAGTACATGTATCTTTAAGTAATTTCTTTCAAAAGTGGAGCTTGCAAGTTTACAAGACAAGAACAGAGTTGAAATATTTTTGTTGAGATTGGTCTGTAAGTAGATGGTATGTGACGGAGAATCTCGTAATTCTTTATCCTCTCGTTGGCTCTTTCCACATGAATAAGTGCTTTAGCAATCTTGTAACACAGTGCTGCTTCTTGTATGGTAAACTGGCCTCGTGTCGATAAAAGAGCTTTTATAATTAAGCAGACACCCTGGGGCAACTGGTCATGAATGGTGAAACCTTTGACCACCAAAATAAGGTCTCCAGCTTTGAACTTTCGTAAAACTTGGCTGTGACGTACAATAGCTACATCAGAAGTAGAACCTGGGTACAGCATGGAGCAAAATGTAAGTGCACCATTTGGAGGCACGCAAGTTACTGCTTTAAAAGTATGGCAACTTTTGTACATACTGTAGGCCATGGCCTGATTATCCATATGTGTTGGGATGTCCTGGATTGTTTCAATTGCATCCATGGATGCTCTAGCAGAGGAAAAATCCTCAAAAGATTTTGGCAGAGACCCTGAAAAAAAGTTGGAAACAAATTAATTTGATTATTTGTAATTGTGTAAAAAAATTGTGTTACAGTCAATCTTTCAAGAATACAATAAATTTAACTGCATTAATTTTTGCCAGTCATTATGATAAATTTTAAAACAAACCTTTGCATTTAAGCTGACTTGGAAAACATTCTACGCTACATTCTACACTACGCCATCAGACAGCATCTTGTATAGGGAAAAGTCCACTAATTATTTTCCCATAGAACTCCATACAAACCTTAGGCCTTCTCAGTACTTTACTATGACAATTTCAGAAAAATCTTTAGCATCATTTCAAACTTTGTTCTAAGCCCTAACAAAAATACTGAAAAAAATACATGGTCCCATGGTGTTTATAGGTCAAAATTGCAGTTATTTTCAACTTTTAGAGATTCGCAGTAAAGAACACGTGGCATAAAAAATTAACCCCCACTCCTAAAATCTTCCCTGGCATTTCTATAGTTTCTGTAATATTCCCTCATCCCATCATTTATTTCAAAGGTCATTAATTTTACTTTAAAATGAAAACAATTAAATACCTGATTTCAGCCAATGGCGTAACGCCTACCCATTCAGTATTCGGTTTAATGTTCCATAACAAACAAGGCCATGTGTGCATCCGGGGATTTGGTGCTCTCATTCCTATACTTACATACTTATCTGTCCCAGAATTAGTCAATTGTGGTAATTTCAAAGACTATACACCTACCTGTGAACATGTATGAAATTTGAGTCCTGTGACTTCAGTGTATTGGATACTGTGACCATCTCAAATGATGACACCTTACTGCTACCAGCACAATTCAAAGGAGTGAATGACGTCTGGGCCGGTGATGATATTTGGATATATTGGTGACTGTAAGAAATAAAATATTTGTACAATGAATTGTTTTTGTGCTTTAATGTAAATAAAGTGATATTAAGTCAAAATTGAGTCAATAATTTCATAAGGGTGGATTCTACCCAGAATTAGGTAAAAAGCTCCAAAATTGGATAAATCGTAGTTAATTAAGCAAAATTCAAAGGTTTTAAAAAGACTGATATAGAATTTTTTTATGCTTATGCAAAGGATATTATTTAAGACTCTGATATACTAATTGATTCTTATCTAATCCCTCCTATTGCTCAAGTATGTACAAAAAAGTTTCCCCACCCCCCAGTGAAAAACGCTTAAAGAAATAGCAGGTGCCCCCTTTTATTTTTGTTTACAATTAATTTAGACAAGTTTAAATCAATCCTTTTGATAACAAATCAAAGTTCAATGTCTGTAGTCTTATACTTTACAATCAGAAGCTACTTTTTGAATTTTATTCTAAGAAAAGGAGAATTTAAATAATTTTTTTTAAAAATTAAAGAAAAGCAAAAACTGACTTCAAACCCCAAAATGTACTATACAATAAGAGGCTGGAAAGTTAATAAATAAAAAATTTACCTGCAATGTACAGAAAACTGTCCGACAAAATACATCGGGTGGGTAGGGAGTCTCCATTTTCTTCTTATATAGAGAAAATGCCCCTGCTGATCAGAGACCTAACACTCCCAAATAATAACAAAATATGTTAACATAACAGTCAATCTAAGATGTTCATCCCTCAATGGCAACAAGTTTTTATTACAGTAACTGAAATTGTTAGGAAATAGGAAATCACAATTGGAATTCCTTTAAATGTACCTTCTCTTTGTTGTATTTAATATCGTGGATTGATATTGGCTTCCTTTTACTAGACTCTATTTTTAGGGCAAGCAATTCCTTTTCCAGTTGTATTTCTGTTGAGAGGCGCTGCATTTCTTGAGTACAGTTAAATGTGCAGGATACTGAGTAGTTATGCTCTGATATCAACTGAAAATATATTGTAAATCAAGTACAGTTAAAAGAACTGTATATATTATTAAAAATTATTGAAAATGTTTCAGTGTTGGTCATTTGTCATCATTGGTGTTTTAAATGAGCTTTACTTTTTCTTGATCTTGACATTTTGGTGCTTGTGGAATCTGCAACTGGTCCATCTGTGAAGATGACAGGGACTCCTCACTTTTGAGTTTTTTCCTCCTTTGTAAAATAATTAAACTTGAATTATTTTTTTATTCAGTTGTAAGCTACTCTGTTTATACATGTACCCTTTTAAAGTTTTTTAGTAAAATATTCTCAATTAAACTCCACCCACCCACCATCCAAAAACAAGATGTCGGTCACATTTTGAAAAATAATTTCACCTTTTTGTACATTCAGGATCAGAGAAATCCATGGCCTTTCCTTCATTCCATGCAAAATATGCAGGGTCCCCCTCCTTCTTACCATCCTTAAAGTGGCAGGAGCAGATGCGATCATTCTGATCTCCTGGTTGGCGATCAGCTCGTCTAAAAATATACATTATACAAAGACTGAGTGAAGGAGAATTAAAAAGCAAAACCTGTTCATTTAGCATATGTTATTATCAAATAGCCTAAAAGACTTATTTTTTCATTATTTTTTTTTAAATGTTTCATTTACTTGCAAGTACAAGATAACCATGTGCATAACATTAACAAACGGTAGCAGTATTTGGTAGTAATAATACGAAATAAAATGTAATAAAAACAGCTGTTAAACAAAAATTAATCTTGCTACAAATTGCACAGTTTTTGTGGTATGTACTCTTCATTATTCTTCTGCTATATTGATTATTACGAGATTTAACTTTTTAGCATGCATGTATAAATACTGTATCTGACAATGCAGCATCGTGACATATCGTTACAAGTACCTACAAATTTAGTCAATATATCTACGTTTACTGAGTTTTTTCCCTAGCAGGCCGAAATATCTCCATCATGTCACCAGGAACAACACTCGTGCAGCTCGTAATAAGTGCTGCAATAAACAAACTGATGATTGTGTTTTTTCTCACCTGGTTTTCCCGACGCTTCAGCTACTTTCGTTATTTCTAACCAATGAAAATTGTCCTTACTTTTCTGTTGCGTCATGCAATTTTATTGCACGCATCACTGAATTGTAGAACACACATCACAAGATTTCGAATATACATCACAAGATTATCGAACATACATCACGAGATTTCGAATATACATCACAAGATTTCGAACGTACATCACAAGATTATAGAATATACATCACAAAATTTCGAATATACATCACAAGATTATAGAATATACATCACAAGATTATCGAACATACATCACAAGATTTCGAATATACATCACAAGATTTCGAACATACATCACAAGATTATAGAATATACATCACAAGATTTCGAATATACATCACAAGATATTGAATATACATCACAAGATTTTGAACATACATCACAAGATATTGAATATACATCACAAGATTTCGAATATACATCACAAGATTTCGAACATACATCACAAGATTATAGAATATACATCACAAGATTTCGAATATACATCACAAGATATTGAATATACATCACAAGATATTGAATATACATCACAAGATTTTGAACATACATCACAAGATATTGAATATACATCACAAGATTATAGAATATACATCACAAGATTTCGAACATACATCACAAGATTATAGAATATACATCACAAGTTTTAGAATATACATCACAAGATATTGAATATACATCACAAGATTTTGAACATACATCACAAGATTTTGAATATACATCACAAGATTTCGAACATACATCACAAGATTTTGAATATACATCACAAGATTTTGAATATACATCACAAGATTTCGAACATACATCACAAGATTTTGAATATACATCACAAGATTATCAAATATTGCAACGTTTGACATGCCATACGAAACTGTATTCTGAGAAAAAAGTCCGACAATGTCCTACACCTGTCGTATTATTTAAAAAATGAAATAAACAGATGAAATGAAAGCGAGGGGGGGGGGGGTGGTATTTTACCTTCATGTTTTTAACAAAATGTAGAGTAACCAAAGGGGATCCCAGCACTCACTGGTACCCCCACTCAACCCTCCTGTGAGTTTTTGTTTTCTTTTTCGCTTTCGTATATGATTTTTGCTAAACTTGTATACATACGCTTATTAATTTATCAACAAGAAACGATAACACTACATAGTGTCTTGGTTGGCTATAAATCTACCCCCCCCCCCCTC